CTATACCTCGTTCTTTTTTTTTTTTTTTTTGTATTGTGAAAAGTTTCTCTAATGTTGTATATCTGTCATTATTTCTTCCCTTTTGTATGGAAAACTACAATTAGGTTTTAGTAAAAATTTTAATAAATTTGTTCTGCAATTCTTGTTCTCGTGTTTTTAATCTTTCTAAGTATTTTTCCAGGCATTCCTAGGTAAAACTTTCAATCCCCTTCTCTTTCTCTTCGGAATTTGGACCATTGAGTACCCAAAACACACCAAATCAAAGTGTATTTAGGGTTTTGAAGCCTCATCAAAATTTTCTCATCCATTTAGGAGTTAAATTGGAATTAATGTTAGCAGCTGCGTGGTCTGTTGGATTCTTGGTCGGATTCAAATCATTTTTAAGATTTCATGTTGTCAGGTTCAAGAGACTCTGGATTCTGGAGAAATAGGCTGATCCACTCTGAAAATTGAAAGTTTTTAGTGTAAAAAAATGGGTATGTGCATTGTACACTTGACAATTTAAAATATAATATGATGGTATCATATAAATATGATATAAAAATAAGACAAAGATGATACAATTTAAAATTTTAATAATATTTATATATGGGATTAACAAAATTAAAAAAATATATTTTATATTTTTATGTTAACACGAATTATAACACATAATTTTTATATAAAATAGTATATAAATATATAAATTATCAGTGCATAATCAAAATCACATGCAATCACGTCAACAGCATCAATGATTCTTTCATTCATTCAACTCTTGCCAGGTCTATTAGAATGGAGGCATTTCTATGATTGCTTGGCTTAATGATCAAACTATGCCATACAACACATGACATGAATTCTTCAATTGAAGATAAATATGAATTCATTGAACTACATATTTAAAGTAGCTCTCTCATTTTGAAAGATAAAAGTTAGTTCTTTATCAATCTGTCTAACTAAACAATTCTTTTTCTAACAATATGAAAGCAAAAAAGCCAGTGGAATAATGTTTTCCTACTCTATTAGTTGATAATGGCAAATTTTGTTTTATTCATAGAGGAAAACTAAATTTGAAATTCTAATTTTAATATCGATAATCTCTTCTCTTTATTAATTTTCAATGATCCAAACAAACATATTAAAATTAATTTATATTGTTTGGACTTTTTTTTTTAAATACTTGTGTCCTATCCTTCAAATACAAAAAAAAAAAATTGAATATATTTATATCAATACATATCCTAATCCAACATTCATTTTGAGTTTGAGTAAAGGATTGAAAAATGAAGATTGAAATTGGCTGCACAAAAATTCAGAGATTTATATCACCCAATTGCCTCTTCAACAAACGAAAAGAAAATACACTAGCAAAAACGATAAAAATTTAAAAATTTTTATGACTTCTTTTCAATAAATCTTAACATTTATAATTTTTTCTTTTATTTTTAAATTACGGCTTAAAATGTAGGTACAGAAAATGAGAATTGATTAGGCAACTTTCCTTAATCTTTGATTGAGTTACCTACTATTAAATTTTCTAACACATGGATCAAACTTTATTTGTTGGCAAAATTGCTGAGCCATCATTTTAAAAGTGCTATTGCCAATGAAAGTCTATCTTCTTAAATCTCTATTGTTTTGGTCTGAAATTACTTGAAAGGCATCAAGAAAGTGGGATGAATGGTGACGAAATATGCTTCAAAACCAGAGCCTTATCAAACCTCTCGAATATGATAAGCAAAAGGAGGAGTGGTCCATTGATAGTTCAATTTTTTGGAGATAATCAAAGCCAAAGGAAACATGTGGTTGGTTGAATCATGAAAACTACTAAAAAAAACTTGTGGAGGCAAAATCTTGCACATTCACATGACATATATACAAACAAGTCTAGATTTTTTTTTTCTGTAATTTGAAATATGAGGACAACATGGACAACCCAACAACCTCAGCTGTCTTTACCATCATTATCATATGATGTGAACTTTCTTATACATTGGTTCCTTTCTTTCTTTTTTTTTTTTTTTTTTTTTTTTCATGAGGAATCTTAGGGTTATAATTCATTTTAATTAGTTATCAAAGAAAAATTATCTCATTCATTGTCGATTGATAAATTTTAAAATTTTCATCAATAAAATTAAAAAATAATCATATATTTTATTACGAATAGATTTAATAATTTATGTTATCGTATTGTGTAAAATATTATATTTGTTTCATGTATTACATGAAAATCGTGTGTCATAATTTATATCAACATAAAAATATAAAATATAATATTTTGATTTTATTAAATCTATTTATGATTTTTTAAAAATTTTAAGTCATGTTATCTTCATATCTTTTATTCGTATTATTTTCATAATATATCATCATATCGTATTTTAAATTATCAAATCTAATTACGAATAAAACATCTAATAATATTCTAACATTGTCTATACAATATATATCAAATGTTTGAATCTTTTCTATCCTTACTAAACTTTAATAACTTAAGTGGAAGAAAGTACAATTTCAAGCCATTGACTTGGTAGGTCAAATGTGGTCCTTTTTATGAATGATAAATTCATAAATCCTTGAATTTAATCACTAATGATATTTTTTATTGATATTTTTTATTTAAAGAAGGATTCAAACCTAACTCTATGGCTAAAAAGATCCATGCACTGATCATCGAGTCAATTGTTCGAGTGTAAATTTTCTTTTTTATGCTTTTTAAGCAAAGGAAAAAAGTTAATTAAAGATTAAATTTCACATATTTAGTAACGGCAAAAGGACAGTAGAGGTCAAGAACTACACGAGATTTATCCAGAGGCGAGTCCAAAGGAGGGAAGCACGGCCATGGCTCCCTCTGTTAAAGTGGGTTATTTAAAATCATACCCTTCCACCTAATTTAGTTTAATATAATATCAAAATCATAATTTTTTTATATTATTTTTTAAAAATTTATTACATAATAAATTTATTTTTTTCGTCTATACATAATGAAAATACGTGAGAATAATTATTTTATATTTAATAAATATTAATTTTTTATAATTTTATATTTAGGTTAAATTTTTTTATTTATTATCAATTAATTTTAAGTTAAATGTTTAATATAATATTAACATCAAAATTTTTTAGTTATTTTTTTTAATTTATCACATAAAAAATTTCTTTTATTTTCATTTACTTATAATAAAAATCTGTTAAAATAGATTTTTTAAATTATATTCCTTCTTTTATAATTAATTAATTTTAAATTGATTGTTTAACATCCTTAAAAAAAAATTTTACACTATTATTATATAATAACTTAATCCATCTAACATCGGCATCGACTCTCTCTTATCCATTAACTTCACTGTTTGACTCTTTCTTTGTCTCATGTCTGGTTTCCTGCTTGGATTTACCCACTGTTATATCCTAAAATCCTATCCAACTTCTAATTGAGTGTCAAAATGGTTTTTATTTCTATTTATGTCAATTACTTTTAATTTTCTATGTTAGACTTATGGTAAAAATGACAACGAATAGCGTATTTAATTATCTATAATTGAGTTTGAATAAAGGGTATTATAAAACTAGTACTATGCTTTACCTTAACCCAATTATAAAATATTTTAATCTTACTTAATCTCTAATTTTTTGAAATTAAAAAAAAAATGAAAGTGGAGAATTTCCCCAAAGAAAATTGATGTCTCAATTTTGTCCTCTATCACTGTTTGAGTGAGTGAAATGGTCGGCAACCGAAAGGCATGTAATTTGAGGGAGGGAGCAATCTGGCATGTAAATGAGTCAGCAGCGCAATCCAAAACTCTATCACTGATTTTTTGGTAATAAACAATACAGTATGACGTGTCACTCAGTCTTTCCACGTCAGTCATGTTGCACACACCAGAAAATTACTTCCTGTTTCAGCGTTGACTCGACCCACCCCAAAAAATTTCCTATTTTTTCCCTCCATTCAAAAATAAATAAAAAATAATGTATTATATTATTTGAAAATATATTTTCAGTTATTTAGCAAAAAATAATTTCCATAATCCTCAATTTTTCTTTACTTTAATTAAATTGATGATTTAAAAATATTATATTTGATATACACCAATAATATTTAAAATGATTGAAAATATTATAAAAAATTATTCGATTGGTAATTTAATTTATTTTAACTTAAATGATTTTAAATTTAAATTTTATCGATAATATTTTCTTGATTCCTCGAATTTAAATTTAAAATATATCTGTATTATCCATTCCACAATTGGCTACAAATCCAACGTTCCCTGACAAGACCAGATCAGGCTTTCCCATTTCAAAAAAAAAAAAAATTTTAAAGCTTATGGATAAGATTCTATCCACATCACCATTTTTTATTTTTTTTTAGAAAACAAACAACGGATTATGATTAATTTTTTTAATCCTTAATCAAAAAAAATGGATGCTGTTAAAGAATTTTTAAATAAATTATAAATATAAAATAATTAATTTTTTAATCTATTAAAATTTATAACATTAATTATTTACTATTATATATAATAAAATATATAATATTATAAATAATATATTAATTAATGTTAAAAAATCTTTAAAACAGTTGTTAATATAATTCAAAATAATATGATAAATTATATTTTTTTAAATATAAAATTTTGTGAACAAGTGTTTATTTAACATTTTTCTTAAGTAAAATATTATTTTTAATTTTTATTTTAAATATGATAATTTTATCAAAAAAAGAATTTTCTAAATATAGTAATAATATTTGATAATGGCATTAAGCCATTGGTTGAAAAAACTCAAAAAATAATTAAAAAATTAGTTAAATAAATATTATCCAATTTTAAAAAGAATAAAAAAGGGAAAAAAGAATTATTATGTGGCCGAAAATTGGCAAATTATGAGGTTACACGTGGCAGAAACGCATCGTTTTTTGTTGCTTTACGCAAAACGTTTATATAAGGGACCCAAGCCATGAACAAAGATCCCCAAATTTCTTGGCATCTCAAAACATTACCCAAAAAAAAAGAGAAAAATTGAAAGTCCCTCTTTTCAATTCAGACCAAAATTATAAAATCCCTCCTTTATTCTTTTCCTTCAACACATTTCATATTAAATTTTTATACAGCTTTAGATCTGAGAGCAAAGAACTTTTTTTGGGTTTTTTGTTTGAAGTTCTTTTGGTGTAAAATTTTGATCTGAATTCGAAAAAGGCTTTCATTTTAATTTTGGGTTTTCTTTTGTTGGGTTTTTTTTTTTTTTTAATCTTTTGATCTGCAAAAGAGAAAGCTTTTTCTTTTGAAGAATTTGGGGTAAATTTTTCTTTTTAAAAAAAAATTGAAATTTTGGGTGAAATGGAGGTTTCGGTAATTAGGAGTTCTTGTCAGGCAAAGATCTGTAAAACGGAGTTAGGATACAGAGATTTGAGGTTTTGTTTTGGGAAAAATCATGATAAAAATAAAATATTTTCTCGAAAACCAAACAGTGTTTGTTATGAGAGTCAAATTACGAGGTTAAGAAAAGCTGGGCTCAGATTTACGGTGAAAGCTGTCCACTGTGAACCCATTCTTGAATCTAAGTCTGCAACAAGATTCAAATCTGTGAGTTTCATCCATTTTTTTCTTTTTTTTTTTTGGGGGGGGGGGGTTTGCTGTTGAGCTTTTACCTTTTGTTTTTTTTTTTTTTAATTTGAGTATTTAATGTTTGTAAATAAATTGCTATTTCCATATGATGCAAAGAGCTAATTTAATTATCAATGTTATTTGGTAGTTGATTGGAACTTTTATTTATGCTGATTATAGCAAATTTTGGTTTTTGCAGCTTGATCGTGTAAGATTATTTGTTGGCCTGCCATTAGATGCAGTTTCTGAGTGCAATACGGTAAACCATACCCGGGCGATTGCAGCAGGACTAAAAGCTTTGAAGCTTTTGGGCGTGGAAGGTGTTGAATTGCCTGTGTGGTGGGGAGTGGTTGAGAACCAGGCAATGGGAAAGTATGAGTGGTCAGGCTATCTTACTGTTGCAGAGATGGTTCAGAAAGCAGGTCTCAAGCTTCATGTATCACTCTGTTTCCATGCATCTAGACAACCTAAAATCCCACTTCCCAATTGGGTGCTGGAGATTGGGAAATCCCAATCTAGGATATTCTTTACGGATCGGTCAGGAAGGTGTTATCAGGAATGTCTATCACTGGCTGTTGATGATCTTTCTGTTCTTAATGGAAAGACTCCAATTCAAGTTTACCAGGATTTCTGTGAGAGCTTTAAGTCTGCATTCTCACCTTTTATTGGTCGTACAATCACTGTAAGAAGTTGTCTGTAGAGTGACTTGATTAAATAAGCCAATGTTTTAGACCCTAATTTGGTGTGCTGATGCTAATGGCTTCTGTGTTGTGGTTTTTCAGGGAATCTCAATGGGTCTGGGACCAGATGGTGAGCTTCGGTATCCCTCTCACCACAAGCCTGCCAAAAGTGGCACGATTACTGGAGTTGGGGAGTTTCAATGTTATGACATAAACATGCTTAACCTTCTTAAGCAGCATGCTGAAGCAAATGGAAACCCATTATGGGGACTAGGTGGTCCACATGATGCCCCCACTTATAACGAGTCACCTAACTCTAATAACTTCTTCACGGATCACGGTGGATCATGGGAAAGTCCTTATGGTGACTTCTTCCTTTCCTGGTACTCCAGCCAGCTCATATCTCATGGAGATCGTCTCCTGTCTCTTGCCTCTTCAATTTTCAGGGATACTGCAGTGAATGTTTATGGGAAAGTCCCACTGATGCACTCGTGGTACAAAACCCGGGCACGCCCATCTGATCTCACAGCTGGCTTCTATAACACTGCCTCAAGAGATGGCTATGAAGCAGTAGCAGAGATATTTGCAAGGAACTCATGCAAAATGATCTTGCCTGGGATGGACCTGTCAGATGAGCACCAGCCGCATGAATCTCTCTCGAGCCCTGAATCATTACTTGTACAGATTAGAACAGCTTGCAGAAAGCACGGGGTTGATGTTGCAGGCCAGAACTTGGCTTATGGAGCTCCTGGTGGTTTTGCGCAGATCAAGAAAAACATGTTGGGTGAGGATGTGTTAGACTTGTTCACTTTTCAGAGGATGGGAGCTCATTTCTTCTCACCGGAGCATTTTCCTTCATTCACCGAGTTTGTCAGGAGCTTGAGTCAACCTGAGTTGCATTTAGACGATTTGCCCATCAAAGAGGAAGAAGCCACCGCATCTGTAAATACGAGTTCAGATCCCAACATCCACATGCAAGCAGCTTAGAGGGAATTAAAAAGAGACATATTTATGTGTGCATAGTATTCTTGTAAGTACTAAATGTTTTTCTGTTCTGAAAGGAGAGCTCAAGAATATGTTGTTAGTCATCGTTCTGACTTGTTTTCCCAGGGAGCGAAGCAGTGGAACATTTCTTAACGCATGCACCAATTCTCTTTAATTTTCCCTTTGGGAACAAGGAATCCAATCTCTCTAGCCATCCTAGTTTCATATTGTAATGATTTTAATTCTCAAGAAACCATGGTTTTTGACCCCAACAATCAGGTCTCGTTTATGGAGGAATGTGGTCTGGCTATCATGGGCTGTGTCGCAATATAATCAACACATCCTGAAACCTAATAGCCAAATATTATACTTCCTTGGCGGCTTCTTCGGAGTTCATACATATAGCTGCAAAATAATACGAGATAATCAGATCTTATTAATCTTGAACTCAAATCCTGATTTAAGTCCCTTCTTTTACGTGTGTCGGTCTTGTTCAAGTGGGAGAATTAGACTCGGCCCCGGATCTGGGAATCTGGGTTGAAATCCAGAAATAATAATGGATCTACTACCACGATACGAAAGGATGGTATTAAAAGGGAAAAAAATAAAAGCATGATGCAGAGCACGAATGGCCCTACTAGCAATAGCAATTAAAAGATAATTACTTCATTTCCATCAAAATATAAACAGGGGGCAGGTGTCATAAGTGTAATTCGGTAGGCTGGAATGAACAATTGAAGGATATGCTTTTCTGGGTTTTCAAAAATGGATCCTAACTCTCATGTATGGCTAGCTAAATACACCTTTGCTTAGAAAAAATCCAACCCTCGACTTTCTATACAACAGGAACACTTCCATTTGGAGGCTGCATGGGCCCCAGCAATTTGCCTGCAGAAAAAAAAAACCTCTCAAGCTAAGAGCTGGCAGATGATTCATAAAGAAGATTATCACAATTTGAACAATAACGTAACGAAGCTAATAGACTACCTGAGTTGCCTGTAAAAGAATAAGGCTTGGAAATGTATTTGCTTCTCATCAATCCAACAGAAGCAGCCAGAGGCTTTGGAATATCATCAATTAGATGCTGACTCGAAAAGTCATTGGATGGTGGGCAGCCTGGCATACTCAGACATACTTCTGAACATTGACCAAGAACTTGATCAGGTTTCTGCATAGAAGCGTCTTGCTGTATTTCAAGGAACAATATCTGAATTTCTGTCCTCATCAAATCATTCAGGAGATTGCAGTGCATTAAAAGAGTTACGATAACCGATCATGTAAACACAAATTTATTGACCTAATGCAGCTTTTTACAGATATACAAGCCACTTAATCCTTGCAGCATCGGTTCATCTAGATGCACAAAACATATGAATCACATAGGGCATGTCACAAGGCACTTCATTAGTCTTGAAAACCAGTGCTGTGTTTCTTTGTGTTCAACACTAATAGCTTCAAATAATGAGCATTGATCTGTTGTGTGCTTGGTGAACATTCTTCTATTGGAATGAAAGCATTCCACTGATCATTACAGCCAAGGATGAGATCTTGAAGATCTGAGTGAAATAACGACTAAATTGTCCAGGAAAAGTTACACCAATGACCTTTTTTCTGTTATTTTCTTTTTTCCTCTACTAAAACTAAAATGATGATTTGAGAGGGAAAGTGTCACATTCCAACTCACTCAAAACCAACCCAGATGGAAGAGGAAAGCGTGAAGTAGAATAGTTAGCAGGGGCAAACCTTCTTGATAAGCAGATTATCCACCTGTTCGAGAGGACAGTCCCCCTGGGATGAAGCCTGTGACAATATCGTGTTTTGCTGTGATTCTTGCCTACTAATAAAGTCACTGCAAAGTTCTTTGGCTGATGTGACAAAGTACTGATGACTAAGCGCTGTACGAAGACGGCTGCTTCTTTGAGAGTAATAGATTTTGCTACTAAGAGGAATTGGAATATCTGATCTAATTGCAACTCAAGGTCAAGAATGAAACGAGGATGGTTCTGATACAACATTCAGAAGGTATTACAGACAAGTACAAGCAGCAAGGTTTACCTTTTGTCAGCAGGCAGTGTTCATGGACTTGCCTATCATTAGCTGTTTCAGTGTCAGAAACTGTTTCTACTGGAGAGTCCCTAGCTGCAAACATGCATGATAAACATTAATGCATGAGTAACAAAAGAGCAATAATTTGGTAATAGAATAGTCTTTTTGTGAGGCATATATCTGTACTCGAGAATCTTGATTCAAAGCCAAACCTCAGGTTCTCATCTAAAACATCCAAAACTCTTAAATATGAACCAAACCCTTCTGCATTAGCTTAAGGCAAGAGAGAATGTCCTGCTGAGAAAATTCAGGAAATAGAAAGACTACTACAAACTGAATCTGGCCTTACAGGAATATAGGCCATGAGTATCTAGAATTTCTGTCACACCAGAAGCTGTATTTGGGTCATCCGGCAGAGGTAGGCAACCAACTATCCTACAAAAATGGGGAAAAAAAAAAGAAACTGCATCATCCACTAGAAGCCAATAAAATCTTCTGTAAGAAAGGCAAAAGCTCTAACAATGAGAGATATCTAACTTTATAAGAAGCCTGGCACAATAAAAGCCTCAAAAAAATCACAAATAGAGCATTTTATAAAAGCAATCATCCCCAGGCTCAAAGACCAGAGAGCAAAAGAAATGTATCAACCTAAAAGTCATATGCTCAGCTACTTAAAAAATCTTTCTCCACCATTTGCATTCATACACTCCATGTTTAAGATAAAGCAAAAAGAATACACATACTCTCTCATCCCTAAAAAAAAGGAAATGTAAAGAGAAAAGAGAAAAACAGGTTTCTAGAAACAGCAAAATGGGTATAAGATCAACAGTAATGAAGAGAGGAAATTACAAGCACACTAAGTTGCCTTACACATCTTTGAAAAAACACTTCCATCATGTTAAACTATAAGTAGATATAAAAAAAATTAGATAAATGTACTATTATGAAAATAAAAAAACAAATACGAAAAAAAAAAATACAATTTAAAGCGTTTTGTTGAAGGTGGCACTACAGAGGTCGAGTGATCCGCATTCTGGAGATTAGCTCCTGATCCATCCATAACATATGTTGTATCGACACAACTTGAATTTCCTAAAAGAAAAAGGGAAATGATGCATCAAGCTAAAATAATGAAGCTGAACTTGCTGCAATCAGAGAACTGGCACGTAATAAGTAAATATAAACTGCGTTTAACGTTAGATATATTATCTCATAAAATAACAATATTAGAAGGGGGAAATTAAAAAGAAGAGAAATCAACAACATTATCCACTTACTTTTTGCATCAATGGTTAAGGAAGAAGTCATTCTAATTTGCCCATCCATGTGGGATTCTGATGCTATAGGATCATCAGCATCAATAACTTCAGATCTTTCCTGCTCCCCAACTGGTGTAGGTTGGTCTAAGACAGGTTAAGAACTATGAAAATATGAATCAACAACGAAATATAAGTTTCTTGTAATCAAACAAAAAATGTAAGACATTTCTTTAACATAAAGCACACGACAACCAAAATATGAATTTTCAGTAATGAAAAAACATTTAAAACTCTTTTCAGTACTTCTGACACTTCTTTTCTAAGAAAACAATACTAACATTAAAAATGAAGACAAAAATGTAACAAATTGAGCAAAAAATGTTTGAACTTAACAGTGAAGCCAACATAATACTGAAACAAATTTCACAAAAAGGGGTGAAAAGAAGGATACTAGCATAAGCAGCGAGTGACTTCTTCCTTTCCTTCCTTGGAGGTTTCCTATGCCCTGTACTAACATCAAGCTCCAAAATAGTATCTTCTGTGGTTTTTAATGACCTACAGAGTTCTGGAAAAATCCGACAGGAAAAAAAAAACAATTTCAGTGAAGTACCACCAACAAACCCTTTAAAAATTGTCCCAACTAGAAAACAATGCCGAATGTAGAAAATAATATTACAAATCCCTTGCTCATACAGCTTGTAGAAAGATTATTGAGAACAATAATTATTGATTGACAACAGAAACTAGATTAAACATGGATAAATGCCTACCACAATCATAGATGCTAAAAGAATCATGTATGTGCAAAATTATTTTAAGTGCCTAATTATGTTTGAGTTAGTCATGAATGATAAAAATTGGGAAAGATTGGTCAAAAAATTAAAATGCCTCCAAACCTGCATGAGCAGCATATTGACTGGCCTTGACTGGCTTCTTACATGCATTACAACATACCTTCACAATTATATTAAACAATCAGGTAACAGTAAAAAAATTGTGTCCACATCAACAACTGATAAATAAAGCAACATGTTGACTATATAAATGGTAAATTTCTACCTTGGTGAAGAGACAACCTTAAAAGTAAAAATAAAAATAAAGAAAACACACTTTGGGATGTTACAAAGACAGTTCGGTAACCAAGAAAGTAGAAGGCAAGAAACATGGTGAGCATTCTCGTGTGACAAGGTTGCAACTCTTGCTGGCATTTTTAACCATACATTTGCGAAGCCTATGTAGGACTCATTGTTTAGGGAATTTCTTTATTGATTTAAGATAATCAGCAATCTGAAACAAATGGAGGGAACCTTAATTGCCAAAGGCATCAAAGCTACAGCTGAGAGAGAGGGCATAAACAGGAAAGACATTTTACAAGAGTTTTATAACATGATATCAAAGCGAACTGAAATGCTAAAATGGAAAATTGATAGCTCAGATAAACTTACCAAATTCAAAGGGTCAGCCATGGGCTTCAAACCAAAGACATGCATATCTATGGGAGAAAAATCAACAGACCATCACAAACAATGAACACAACATTTATATTGATCACTGCTATAAGACCACATAATTTGGTGTAAGAGAAATATTATTAAATTGAAAGACCAATAAATTAAACATGAGTCTGCACAAAGGCATCACCTTCTTCATCAAGTAAATTTGCCTCATCTGCTCCACGTAATTCTCTGTAAATGTATTGAGCAGCTAATTTTTTATTGCCAACTTCTTCTGCCAAAGGTTGAGGACAATGAAAATACAATGTCGTTTGACAAATTAAACCAACATCTCCAATTCATTTGAAACTGTCAGACCTAAATTAATCTAAAACATCCTCATGGTGAAAGCAGCAATTGGTCAAGTTTAACATGCAATTACTTAAAAATGATAACGTACTTATTTTCTTTTATATTTTTTTAAAAAGTGAATCAGGAGTTTTACATATCATATATATATATATATATATATAAAGTGAGACAGAGAACAAGAATAAATAGAACATCAAATACTTGGATCAAAAGTGTAATATATCAGAGCTATTAATAATGTACCACTGACTTCCCTGTAATAATTACTGAGAACTTCAGAAAAAGAAAGAAGAGACAAACTTCATGGCGCAAACACAAGTATAATTATCCATTATCTGCCCTTGAAGTATCCATATAGCATGACAATCATGTAATGAGTGTTGCAAAATTTTCTTATATTATTTCTCTTGTATTACTCCATTCTACAACGCCGTACTTCACTACCTACTAATTACTCTGCAAACTTAGACCACGTCATTTCAACTTGACCATGCAAACAAGGAGTACAAATTTTTAATATTGTATAACAAATTGAATATTGAGACCCATAACATACATATTCCAATATTTCGTACTGAGATGTCATAATATACCTGCTACATTCGGCGAGATGCTTCCAGCTTCAAGAAGCCTAGCCATAACGGCCATTCTACCACTTCCAATAGAGCATACCATTGAGACAACAAGTTAGCTCCGAATCTATACACTGCCAAAAGCAATGCCAGCTAAAATCACCACAATACTATTATAGCAATACATAGCACATTAAATTACAGAACCAAAATTTTCAATAATAATAATTAATTCCACGCACATAAAATTTATAAAGTTAGTGTTTAATATACTATCAGTATAAAATTTTGATTAGACAGACAAAGAAAAAAGAGTGACGCATGTCCTTTAAAGTATATTTAAAAAAATAAAAATCTAGAAATGAGACATACGTCACCCTCTTAACCCCTTTAACCTGTTTGTGTAATTAAAATTTTATACCAACAATATATGTTTACAGAGTTGTACATTATTGGCCTTTTCTTTTTCGTATTAAGTTTTTAAGAGAATGAAAATCAAATGTCAGAAAATTTTGTTTAAAATTTTTGAAAACAAAACACGTGAAAATCATATATGTTGCACATCTAAAACAAAATTTACGCAGTCATGCAATGCAAAATAAAGCAAATATGAGAAATCATTCTTTGATCAAGAACCCTATAATCACAATCAGACGGCCAAAAAATGATAAACAAAATACTCACCTCGATCTATACAAAAAATATCTCGAAGAAAACCCTTAAAATGCGAAGATATATAAGAATTCGAATTAGTTCTCAAAACAATGCGCCCATCCCGAGGCAATGTGAGTGGAAGTGAAGGTCAGTGAAGGTAAAGGAAGAGCTGCAATGGCGGAAATGGAAACCCTAGGAGGAGAGATTGTGAGAGAGTTCGATTTTTTTTTTTTTTTGTTTTTTATCTACCAAAAGAAAAATAAAAATAAAAATAAAATGAATATGCTTTGCTTTGTTTGGCTGCTACTTTCTTTCCTTTCTTCTTCGTCTTCTCTCTCCCCCGAGAGAGGAGAGAAGGGAAGAGGTGGCAATTTGGCAGAGCCAAAAATGGGGGACAAAAAAAATTTAATTGAACAACGAGGCTTTGGATTTTGGTGTCATGTTAAAATATGCGCAGGCTACTGTATTGGATTCGTGTGGTCCCCGCCGTATGGGATAACCCGCTTTTCAGTCCCTTTAATTTTGAAAAATCTTAAAATATTTACTAAAATAATTCTCCTCCATCCCAAATTGTTTACACGAAATTAAGAATCACAGAATTTTTTTAATTTTAATATATTTAATATTAAAATTAAATTTCATATTTTTTAATATCAAAAAATAAAATATAATTTTAAAATATAAAAAATAAGAGTTTTTTATATTAAAAAAACATAACTTGAAAATATGTGAAAAAAATATAAACAAAAAAAAAGGAAAGAGGGAGAACTACAGATTTTGGGCGAAGGAGATTATGAATTATTATTTCGCACATCACACTCAATAAATTTTTAATTTTATAAATGAATTAAAAAATATTTCCTTTTTTATTAATTGTTTTATGATTTTTTTATATTTTTAATTTTGTTAATTTCTTAACATAAATAATAAAAAATTAACAAAAATTTATCATATAAACAAAATCAAATTGTATAATATAATTTTTTATTTTGATTAAATGGTAGAATTAATTTTTTTATTTTAATTTGTTCAAATTGAAAAGTATATTTCATGGATTGTCGTTAATCTATCACTCATATCTCAATTAACTTATTAAACTTTAATTTATCTTTAAAATATCATTAAAATTTATTAAATATATCAAATTTAATCACTGAAATAAATTTTATCTAAAATTTAACCAAAAAAAAAAGGCACGATCCCCACCACATCTGCTCACTTCATTTAACTAACCCATATAAATTGCAATAAATTATTTTTTATTTTGCTTTTCTACTTTCTCTCTCTAAATTCTGTTTCCTCCCTCTCTCTAAACTCTCGTTTCTCTCGCGAATATAGTATTTTTTCCATCATTTCTCATTTTCTCTTGCAAAATTACTGTGCCCCACATCGTCAAAATAATTTGTGGCATCCTTCCCTGATAAAATAGTAAAAAATACCAAGATCTAATTACCAATTTCAGGCTTACCAAATAGCATAAAATACCTGATAAATTAGCATTGCCTATCCAAACATATATAATGATTATCTGGCAAAAAGCTGTCCTGCATCTGACCCAAATTGAAACTTTCATCTAGTTAAGTTAGGTACAGGTAGTATTGTGTTGTCAGTTCAGTTGAGGTTGCATTTATGTGATGATGGATGAGAGCCGTTGTGTTTGGAACGCTGCCGGGTTGGGAGAGAAAGAGACGATAAAGTGGGAAAATTTTAGTGACCGGATTAAAGATGCCATCTATTGAGTTTAATTTAATTTAAAATTTGATTTAAATTCGATTAAATTTTATTTTTTAATTTAAATTTAATTTAAAATAAAAATTAAATTATTTAAATTTATTTAATTAAAATTTATTAATATATAAAAATAAATTCAAATTTTTGTTTAGTAAAATTTTGATTATTTGTGGTCAAATTAGAGTTATAATTCAAGATATTTTATAAATTAAAATAATATAAATATATTAAAATATTAATGTTCGATTAAGATTGTAAATTATTTAAATCGAATATAAAAATACTTAAATTTAATTTGATTTATAAATATATTTACTAAAACTTAATTTAATAATAATTTAATTAAATTCAAAACTTATTCGAATTGAATTAAAATAATGTACTAATATTAATATATAATTTACATCTTTAACTTGGATAAAAAATCTTACGTGGTAAATTGCTTCCAGAAACTTGTGTGGCTGATTCCATGGGTGCTACGTGGTAGTTATATCATTTTTTTCATTCGTTGTTTAGATGAAATGTGTTAAAAGTGATTAGATTTGATATATTTAACAATTTTGAGTGATATTTTTGGTATAAATTCAAATTTAGTAATTTATTTAAGATATAGTGATAAATTGAGTGATTCATATTTTTGGTATAAATTAAATTTTAGTAATTTATTTAAGATATAGTGATAAATTGAGTGATCATTCATGAAATTTACTCTAATTTGAATGTTTATATTTTAATTAATTATTGAATTTAATCAAATTATTAAAAGTTTAAATTTTTTTCATTTAGATCGATAAAATAGTATTTTGATTTTTTTTTGACATTATATTTTTGTTTATATGATCGATAATTTTAATTATATGTTAAGTTTACATGATAAAAAATGACTAGGTAAATTTTTTTTACCATTTAGTATTCATGTCAACATTTTTTAAATTATATGGTACATCTTTATATTTTGTCAAATGATATAATTAATTTATCTATCTTAATATGTTTAAATTTAATTCGTATATAACAATTAATTATTGAATTTAGGGTTTAACTTAAAATAAGTAAATAAAACTAAAATATAACATAAAAAACTTTTCAATGTAAATAGATCGAGTCATAATTAAGTTAGTATATAAATTTAATACACAAATTGCACTAAACTCGTCTTGTAAAATCATGTCATTTCAAACGGTTATAAAAACAAAAATAAACTTTTTATAATTTTTCACTTTTCCTCTTTCTCTTCATTTGCTCTACAAGTTTCATTCAATAAACTTATATTTTGGTAAGATTTCAAGAAGTTAGCAATTAAAATATTTAATTATTGTAGAAAAATTTTATCAAAAAATTTATCAATACCCAAAAATTGACCGTCGATGCCACCGTTGTGTATCACCACCAAAAATAAAATTGAATAGAATACTTTAAAAATTATAAACTTAAAACCTCTTATAAATAATTTATATACAAAAAAATTGCTTTTGATTATTTTTGTTGGTTGTCTCTGTTTTTTGGCTATGTTTTTTTTGTTGATTGCTTATATTATTAAATGTGTATCTAGATTTGTTGGATTTGTTGATTATGAGTTTCTTAATCTAATTTCTATATTTTGTCATGTTTTAAAACGTTTTTTTTTTTATTTTAAAAATATTGAAATTAAAAATTAAAAAATGAAAGAAATAAAAAAAAGAATGATAAAGAAAATATATAATTCAATTTATATTTGGCTTAAAATCTAATTTGAAATTAACTTAATTTGTCAAATTAAAATTTAATTAATAATTAAAATATCCAAAAAAAATATCTAAATGTGGAAAAATATTACGATCAAATTAATAATTTATGTTTTATTTTAAAACAAAATTTAAATTTGATAATTAATTGATGTATAAGAATCAAATTCAAACACGTTAAAGTAGAAATATTAATTCCATAATTTGAATAAATTACAAAGATGCATCGTATAGTTTATAAAAAGTTGACATAAAAAACTATTGATGTGGCATTAAAATTTTATCATGTCATTATCTTTAATCAAGTGAATTTAACACGTAAACAAAATCAACAAACATATAAATAAAAATATTACACCTCAAAACTTAAAATGTCATGTCATTAATTTAAAGTAAAAAATATAAATCATTAATAATTTAATTAAATTTAATAATTAATTAAAATATAAAAATTTAATTTAAACAAAAAAAAAACTAATTTCACAATTTGATTGAAGTACATAGATATTCTATATAATTTGGCCTATAAACAAAATTTATTATTTACATTAATAAAATATTTTTATTTCATTATTTTTATTCAAATATCCACAAATTTTAATAAAATTAAATTATAACAATAAAATTCAATATTGAATCAAAATATAACGATAAATTTTACCTTAATCCTTTAAAAGTATCTTTTTTTAATTTTTTGTTGTAATAAATATTGAAAAATTATTAAATATATTGATAATAAAATTTTTTAATTTCATAAACAAAATTAAAATAATAATACATATAATTTATATATTTAAAAAAATTATTTAATAAATAAAAAATATATTATCATTTTAATTACATTTATAAATTTAAAAAGTTTTACTACTAATGTATCAAATAATTTTTTATAAATATTATAATAAAAACATTTATTAAAAAAAGAAGAAAAAAAAAACCCAACTCGTGGGGCAGTGTGTTTCAAAGGGTTTTTCGATAAAAACTATGAAAAGTGGGAAACTGACAATTGCCATCAAATCTCACAACCAAGCACTAGAAAGCAAACAAGTCATTTATTAAAACCTCGTAGTCTTATGTTTCGATTGGATTGAAAAACGCACCTTAATGCGTTTTGTTGGTTTTATCACTGTAGTTTCGATCACCCACCATACTTGCTTTATTTTTCAGTTTCCATTTTTCTCCTTTAATAAGTTAGCAACTTCTTATTATATAATAAATAAATAAATAAATTTTATTATTATATAATAAACTAATACATAAAATTTAATTATTTATCAATAAAATTATTATTTAATAAAACGTAATTTATTTTTATTTTTTTATTAATTTTATAAATGTTAAATAATTTAAAATTTTTATTAAATATAATTTTTACTTAGTCTTATTTTTTATTATAATTTATTTCGTTTTATGCTTTTACATCTAAATATGTATTTTTATTATTGATTTTAATTTTACGAGAATAAGCAATATTGCTTTAAAAAAATTTAGATAAAATTTTTTAAATAAAATTCGTAAAATTTCTTATTAAAAATGATTTAATAAAAATTAAAATAAAAATATGATAAATTAAAAAACTTGTTACATAAATAAAATGTGCAAAAATTAAATAAATTTTAATAAATTTTATTACATTTTTTTATAAATATTTTAATAAAAATATTGATAAAATTTTTATCATTAAATAAATATCAATAAATTTTTAAATTATAAATAATATTTTTAATAATTTTTTATATATTATTAATTTTTTATTAAACTCTATTAATTTATCTATTTAAAATTTTTATTAAATCATTTAATAAAAAAATTAATTAACTCGAGTTTTCCACGTGAGTTGTGTGCACATTGCTTCTACATAAAACGACGAACCAATATCCCGTCTTCGTTCTCTTTCTCTGTTCTTGGTGATCTCCGCCTCTTCTTTCTGTTTCTCTCCCTCTCTTTCTCTCTTCCTTGAATCAATCGAAACCGATTCCAATGGCTTCTATAACTGGAGCTTCATTGAAGTTCACTTCACTTTCAAATTCTTTCAAGCAGACCCAGGTCACTTCCCATCTTCATCTTTTTTTTTCCTTCATATTTTTCTATGTTTTAGGATCTGATTTTTGTCTCCTGATTCTTGTTTTAACCATTTTCTTATGGTATTTAAGATGGGTTTGGTTAGAAAGGTTGATTTTGGTGTTCTGGTTTTTGTTTTTGGGTAGTAACAGAGTTTGTGGTGAATTTGATTTTCTTTTTCTTGGGGTTGTTTAGATTCTTTTTAAGTGTTTTTCCTTGATGAGATTTTGGATTTGATGGTGAAATTTAAATATTTAAAGAGTGAAATCATGTGAGTAGTTTGAAAGATGGCATCTTTGATCTTTTGGTGCATGAAATTTCAGTAAAGTTGTAGACTTTAAAGGCTTCTTGATATTTGAAATAGTAAAACGTTTCATCTTTCATGATATGGATTAGGTTACATGATTGTTTTATCATTTCCATGAAAGTTGCCTTAGCTTTGGATGGAATAAACAAAGCTTTTCAAAACTAACTCAAACGACCTGGTTGTCAATCTGCTTTGTGTAAGACAGCAAAGTAGACATAATTTTAAACAGGATTTGGTGACACGATTCGAAAATACAATATGGTGACGCTATACAAAAACACGATATGGTGACACAATACAAAAAATTATCAAAACCACAAATGGGATTTGTAAAAACCAAAATATATGTTTTGTGTTTGGCATTTGACATAAGTTGTGTTAAAATAATTTTCGTGTTTTACAGCCTTAAATATGAAATAAACAGATACAATACATGGATTGCCTAGTCTACACTAAAGTCTAAATTAACTCAAAAACGCATTTTTCAATATCTCTACTTTGGTTTAGTTCAGGTTGAATTTAAGATCTAACATATACTAAATTGTTTTTAAGTGTTTTTGAAGGTGGTAAAGTGTGATTTCCAATCAAACATGCAAGCGCATCGGTCTTCTTGTTCTGTTCCTCCGTGTATCATATAACTTCTTGTTCTGTCTGGATGTTCTGCTTTTAATAGAGGTTTTTGTTGATTTATTCAATTCTGTTTGAGCAGGTACCTCTTCGCGGGATCTCTGTCAACTATGTTAGCTTCCAATCTCATAGAATGCAGCCAGGATCATTGCGCTTTCGTGTTTCCTGTGCGGTATGCTTTTCTTTTCATCTGGCTTGGTTTTTCTTGGATCTTGGTTCTCCTCTCTGCATCCATCAACTTAACTATGCAGTTTCATTTAGTGCCAAACAAGATAGCCGACTATCCGATTTTCGGGACCATCTAAATTGTTCATAAACATCTTATCATACAGATGAAAGGAGCATTAACCATGGCTGTTTGGCCCAAGCCAGAGTTGCTTCTTGGAACATTTATCAATATGAAAAGTTCCAATTTGTCATTCATATGTATACCATGGATTATTATGTTATTTATATATAATCTTGGCTAGTTGCAACATATCAAGTATGTTCTGCCTTTGTCTAGTTCTCCATGCTTTTGTCAACTACATTACAATGATGGGAGGATAGTCCTTTTGTCATTTCTGGTGATATGAAGCCTTTAGATGCATTTCTCCATCATAATCAATGTGCTTAACCAGCTACCGGGGTGTTAATAACTTCAGGCCAAACCAGAGACAGTGGACAAAGTTTGTGAAATAGTGAGGAAACAACTGGCACTACCCAATGATTCTTCCATCACTGGAGAGTCAAAATTTGCTGCACTTGGAGCTGATTCTCTTGACACGGTAAACAAATATCTATTCTCTTTTAACTATTGTAGTTCTATTACATGAACCTTTATGTTTTAACACCTGTAATTAGTGTCATGTGCGTAATGTATTTGTTTCGTGGTTGAAAATGTATTTAGAAGTGATGCAATAGTATTTTAAGTATGGATGTTTCTGTCAAAATCTTCTTGTGATGTTGTGTTATAAAAAATTCACTATTTGACTATGGACTGAGTGTTGTTTATTTCGTTTCTATATTGCGTGTATGAATGGATGGATTCATATTCAAAAAAAAATATTAACATCCAATGCTACCGATTTCTCCTGATTCAGGTCGAGATAGTGATGGGACTCGAGGAGGAGTTTGGTATCAGTGTGGAAGAAGAAAGTGCCCAGAGTATTACCACTGTTCAGGACGCAGCTGATCTGATCGAGAAGCTCAGGGAGAAGAATAGTGCTTAGAATGATGTTGCAAACGGTAGGTGACAAGTCCTAATAAACCCCTGTTTTGGCCTCTCCTTTGTTGTCATAGTGGTAGTTTGTTTTGTTGCTTATGGAACATTTAATCTAGGTAATCTTATCTGATGAACCAACATGAAGCTGTTGTTCAGTTTATGTAGAACTCAAATGTCTCATTTCCTTGTTGTCCTTAGGCATTTGTTCCACTATGCCATCATAAATACATGCTGTTTTAGGCCAAGAGCATTGGCTACTTCTTTTACCAGAGAGAAATGGGGAGTTGGGTTGGTTAGGGTTTTCAAAGCATGATCAATGTGCATGAATGATATTCCATAGTTTTGAATATCTAATAAGCATTTTTCTTTATCTTGCCTTGACCATCTCGAATACATCCAGGGAACTTGAGAAAAACCTGAAAACCGAATTTCATCAAGCAAACCTGAGAAAAACTTGGACCCGACTTGGCCTGAAAACTTGGACCAAATTCGAAATATGCCATTCAGTTTTAGGGTGTGAATAAACAAAGCGTTTGACAAACAATTTGTGAATAAATTCAGTGTTTGTTGATTTATGTTCACCTATCAAGTTTAACAAATGATTACAAACATAATAAATCTTGTTCATGTTCAGTCTGTGTGCACTCTATCCATTTTACCCTAATTTAAAAAGATTGAACAACCAATTTACCTTCGGATTTTATATACTAAAACGAATGTTTAGTTCATAAATTACATTAAATGCAAGTTATTAAAGTAAAGTAGTTTCAAAGTTTTCTTTAAGTATGGACAACAATCTATGTTTATTTCAATGAATACAACTCTTTAAAAGAGCTGCAAAAGCAAACAACTGTATAAGGATAAGTTAGCTATGACAGGTGGAAAAAAATAATGAAGAAAATGAGCAAAGACTAAAGTTTTCGAACGAACAAATTAATTTACAGTACTCTAACACGCTGCATTAATTAAGATGCTACCACAACTGAAGAAGCTGGTAAGGTTAAGGACCCAACGGAAATTCTAGGAAATTCTAGTAGATGTGGAGAGGGAAGCTGCTAATGCAGAGCCTGGACCCGCCACCATCAAGTCATCGGGATTTGGAGGACCTGACATGGATACAGGTGAAGCTGAAAAAGGGGCCAAAGGAGGACCTGACGTGGATACAGGTGATGCTGAAATAGTTGGGGTATGCATCTGAACTTAAATGAGAAGAAGCTAAAGACGGTACAGGTTAGGCCACGAAGGACATAATGAGTAGTAGTGAGAGAAACTAAAAGGAGGCCATTCTAATGATATAAAATCAATGTCGCATTTATTGGTAGAGTCTAAAAAAATGTCATATATATCAGGCAATGATCAATCCTTTCATAGGGAAAAAAAAGCCACGTGGCAATCTACAATGGGCCAGTGATGCGAAAATACAGGTTAGATGATGTTTCCTTTACGGACCTTGAATATGGCAAATCCCTATTTAAAATTCGATCCAATCCCTTCACTTAAATCTATTTAATTTAAATTTATTACTATTTTATAATAAAATTTTTTAATTGAGCTTAAAAATTCTTGTCTAAAGCCTGACTTGGGTCATCGCAAACCCAAAGAGCTGCTTAGCCTTGAACAAATCTACTATACATGTAAAAAAAAAAAAAAACCAAATCCTGTCATTGGGAATAACAAATTCTTCTATCATTCAAGCTTATTAATTGCAAAAATTTAACATGTAGATTTCACATTTTCTTTTTAATAATTGCAGGAATCAAAGTGGAATAAACAGCTGGAGGGATTCTAAATAAGTATATTAATTTTTCAACAAGAAATTCTTTGAAGAACCAAATTGAGAGGGGCAGTTGTTAAAATTCATTTTGTAGTGTATCAGTATGCCATGCAATCTTAATTTAAGTGGTTGTAGAAGTAAGGTTTGAGGGGCAGTTTCTTTCAAGTAAGTTCTCAAAGGAACGAATAAACTTAATTTGATACTTATCGGGTATAAAATAGATCTGCTTCTCTTTTTTTTTTCTGAGTCAAATTTTCTCCTTACTATTAATGGAATAGAAAAATATTAATCCTTTCTCGTAAAGAATCCACTCGAAAATGAGAGATATTTCAATGCAGTAAAGTTACATAGTGTTTGATAAAGAGGTATTTCCATGACTTTATCTTGGTATCATGTTCATACTATCGTATTGAATGATCTTGATTGTTTGCTTTTTATTCGTATATTGCATATAGCTCTGGTTACTGGTTGGGCCGGTTCAATGGCTCTATATGAATTAGCTGTTTTTGATCCCTCCAATCCCGTTCTTGATCCAATGTGAAGACAAGATATGTTCGTTATAATCTTCATGACTCGTTTAGGAATAACCAATATAAGTATACATGCATTATGTAGTTACAGGCCAAGTGCAGGACTGAATAAAATATAACTCACCTCAAACATTCATCATTTCGACCAACCTGGTCCAGAACTCCAAAAACATGTTCATGTCCTTTCAAGAAATCAGTTACTCCACAATGCCTGAAACACGTAACTGAATCTGAGAATCTATTAATGTATAAAAGAAAACAAGCGAAAAAGAAAGTCAGACAACCTCAAGAACTTCAAATGCAATGCGGCAGCAGCTGCAACTCCAAGATTAAAAGAGAAGCAACATCAGCTAATCCAGGTATACTTGAGCTTTTCGGCTTAGAAACAATGCGTTCTATCCGTGTAATTTCAAGTATGGACATTGATAGGATCATGGCATGTGACAGGTATTGGCTACAGGAATAACCAACAGCATGGAGCTTGTTCCTAGAGATGACAGTGAAATGCATCAATTAGGAGTTGCAAGTATTGAAGGTGAGAGTATTCAGGTTGGTAACACAAAAGTTGACCCCTCTGAAGCATAAGGAACTTCGTCAGAAGTTACCACCAAGGAGTCCCCAAAGGGACGGCATGTTCTAAATGATGAATGTCAAGAGCTCCCAGGAATCAAGTAGACAGAGGCAGACCATCTTGACGCTTCTACTGTTGAACCAAAGTCATCAGAAACATAGCCATTTTCACTGCAATCTGGCGATTCTGATGCAAAAGAGCTTGTTCGTAGGTCTGAGGTTGTCCTTGTTGAGGCCTGCAATGTGGAATCAAATCCCATAGAAGGACCATCCTCGTCACAAGTCATCCCGGATGAATCTGCCAATCCAGAGCTTACGGATAATGATCAAGTTAGAAGAACTGAGCTCCAATCGCAAGATGATGCTGAGGCTTCTCAGCAGCCTAAGGTTGATGTCTCAAATATGGAAACAGACCCCACAGATACAAAAGTTCCTTCACCCCAATGGGAACACGATCATGAACCTTTGTTTTGATCCCCTTCGGATTGAACTGAATCCTTATTTCAAATTTGTACATATTTATCTAATCTTAGTTGTAAATCCCTCAAGTTTTGAGCTGGAAGCCTGAGCATTAGAAAACAACTGGTCTTTCAACTTGCTTCTCCATTGGTTGAATGAATTTAGAGAGGGATGCTGAGCAGTTTAATGAACTAACTATTTGCTGATCTTCCTTGTGTTTCTCCCTTTTTTTTTTTTAAGGTTAGGAGGTATATTTGCAGTCAAATTATCCGCGAAGAGATTTTACATTGAGGATCAAACGAAGGATTTGAGCAGTGGGTAGGGTTTTAATTTGAACCAGTTAATTTCAAACAAAATTATTCAAAATGGAATTTATTGAATTATAGTATTATTTTATTTCGGTTTCATTAATTTTTTTAAAGAGTCATCGATTTATAATTTATACAATGTAATTTTTTTGTTAGTTTTGCATAACTTTTTTAATTTTTAATTTTAATTGATTCATTGTATGAGAGATAATAAAAAAAATAGTTTAATCTCATCTCTTGAATTTATTAAAATTATTAATTAAAAATACGTAAAATATAAAATATTTTACACGATGTAAGTGATTTCTTTTATTTTTTAATTAATTTAATAATAAATTATATTTAAATAAAATTATATTTTAATTTTTAATTTTTTAATATTTGAAACAAATTAAATAAAATCATCCAATAAAATTATTCATATATCAAAATATAAATTTAAAATTTTAACAATTTATGAATTAACAATTCATATATTTTTAGTTTTATATTTAAATTTTGTTATATTTCAATTAAAATTTTAATTAATTAAATTCAAAAATTAAATTAATCAAAAATAAAAATTCCTTTAAAATTATATTTAATAACTAATCAAAATTAATTTTGTGATTGAATCGATTTGATCGATTAATTTCATTAAAGTGAAATTTTTTAAAGTCAATTTTACTCAAAATGTTATCTTTTAATTTATTTTTAAAAGTTAAAAATATTATGTTATTTTAATTTTATTTTCAAAAATAAAATTAAGTCTCAATAGAGAATTTTCTGATTCAATATTTATAAATCATAATATTATAAAAGTAGTTTCTATTTGCACCCAAAAAACTCTCCACATTTCATTTTTTATTACAAAAATACCCCTAAATAAAATTACGACAAATTTCCTCTAAGCCATTCATATACTCATGTTTTCTTTTTCTTTTTTTTTTTCAAATTTTTGTACTTTATATTTTGCGAAGTTTTTAAAAATTTTCAGATTTACTCATTCAAAAGTTTTATTTGCATTTCGTAAAAGCTTTCGAATTTATATTTTTGATTCACATTTTCAAAAATTTCTACAAATTTTTTAAAAAAAATTTTCAATTTATATTTTTGAAATTCATGATTTTATGCACAATATCTTATTTCATATTTTAATTTCTTTAATATTTAATCAAAATCTAATAAAATCATAGGTAACTTATTTTTAAAATTTAAGTTTGAAGACTTGATTAATTCTAAAACTTGTAATTTTAAGGTAATTTTTAGGTTAGAGTTTGAGACTTTAGATTAAATTGGCAATGCATAGGGAATAGGAGAAATGAGTGTGGAGGGTCTTTTAAGGAAAAAAAATGTGATTAGGGGTGTAATGAATAAATTTAACTTTTAAAATTTGACTTTGGAATATAAATAGTAATTGGACGGGGTAATTTTAGGGGCATATATAGAAAATCCCTTATAAGCTTTTACTGATATGATTTTAAATACAATTAATTTTTTTCTATATCCATTTTTTTATTCTTTAGATGAATTTATTTATTTATTTTTATTTTAAATTTTTGGATATATAAATCCGATAAATTATATATTTTATCAGATTTTCATATTTCATAAGTTAAAATATTTATATTTAGATTTAAGAAAAAAAAAGTTAGGAAAAAAATACTTTCCTTAAAATTTTAAAATTTTGATTATACAAATTCAAAATATTTTTAAAAATTTTTAAAAAATTTTTAGAATTTCTAAATTTGTAAATTAAAAAATTTTTAAATTTACAAAACCGAAAACTTGAAAATAAAAAAAGTGTGAAAAGAAAGAGTAACTAAAATTTCTTCATTAAATAATTTCATTTAAAATGATTTTGAATAAAAAGGTATATTTAAAATTTCTTCATCAAAATGCAAGGGTATTTTTGGAAAAAAATCCTCCTAAAATGACCCTCAATTTGACCAAAATCACAACTATATCCGAAACACAAAATGTCAAAAACAGAGTGGCAATAAAGGAAATTAGTCTTACTCAGATGCTTTGTGTTCTTCCCTAATTTCGTACTCCCCTGTCCTCTGGCTCCAGCCCCTCTCTAACCCTAAAATCACCCTTCTTCTTTAGTGCTTTTCACCCTTCCATTTTGGAATTCAGAAAACAGGCAAGTTCCCCTTCTCTGTTTCTCGTTTCTCTGCTTCTCCGCTCTATCGAAGGTTTTTTTTTTTTTTCGAAAATTTTAACTTAAAATCCAACTGGAAGCATGAGTTTTGCTTCGTTGAATTGCTTATATGCATGTTTCTTCGTTTACGTTTGCTAATGGGTCTTATGGAGTTGGTTTATTTTAGTTGTAATAAAGGTAGGGTTTTTTGGGGTTTAGGATTTGAGATTCAGTTTTGGATTTTGGGGTTCCAATGTTGTTTAGTTGTTTTGGGGGTTTGAAATTGTATATAATTAGGGTTTTAGGTCTTAAAGTTTTGACTATTATTTCTTTTATTTTTTATTGCTAGAAAGAGGGAATTTATTTAGTTTCTCTATTGCTTTAGCATATGGATTAGTATTATGATAGCAATGTTAATGGAAAATGTAATGATTAGGTGAAAGATGTGAAATGCTGGAATTTTAGAACTCATATTGATATGAATGGATTTGGGATTTTAATTTTCTGTAGTTCACTGTATTATTCTTAGGTGTGTACTATGGTCTCATTTTAGGCTTTCATGTTTCCTCGTGATGATATTTTCGACACTTTTCCTGGGTTTTCGAAGTAGGTGTGGTTGCTAGCATGAATTATGATTCGTTGGTTTGGTCACTCCACTCCAGAATTGTGAAGACTTCATTTTCGTTTTCATATTTTGCTACAACCTTTTAGCTTTCACATTTTCATATCTCTCTGAAGTCTCTGATTGAAAAAGTTGAATTCTAACTTGTTTGTTCCGTGCAATTATTTTGGTAACTTCATGTGAATTGATGCTGCAAGTACCTTGTTTTCTTCCCCCTCTCATGTTACCTTTGCATTTATGTTTTCATGCTTGCAAACCCACTTATTATGTAAAATGGGATATTTGTTATGAAATATCAGATTTTAATTTATTTCTTTTTCTTTGGCTTGGTCAAATTGAGGTTCTTAATTGGTCTAATTTCATAAAACTACTGCAGGACCCATGAGGAGGTGGGAGATGAGTTTCTTGTCTGGTAGTTAAGAGATCCTGGAGGAAGAGTACAAGATATCTGTTATAATTTAATTACATTAGTCTATTAAAGCAATCATTAGCTCTTTTTGTGTCTGAAATTGATTCAATCAGCTCCATTCTGAATTCTATCGGATGGACTGCAACAAGGAAGAGGCCATCAGGGCCAAAAACATTGCGGAGAAGAAGATGCAAAGTAGGGATTTTTCTGGGGCTCTTAAAATTGCTGCCAAGGCCCAACAACTTTTTCAGGATCTGGAGAATATATCTCAGATGATAATGGTGTGTGATGTGCATTGTGCTGCTGAGAAAAGATTGTTTGGTAATGAGATGGATTGGTATGCCATACTTAAGGTTGAGCCAACAGCTGATGAAGCTACAATTAAGAAGCAGTATAGAAAATTTGCCCTTCAACTTCACCCGGATAAGAATAAGTTTCCTGGTGCAGAGGCTGCTTTTAAGTTGATTGGGGATGCACAAAGAACTCTTTTGGATCGAGGTAAAAGATCTTCTCATGACATGAAACGCAAAGTGACAGTTAATAGACCAGCTCCAGCTGCAGCATTCCGGCCCTCACAGCAGCCAAGTTGGTATCCACATGCAGCTACACAGAATAATTTCCATTCCAACTTTGCTGGTTTGAATTCTCAACAGCAGCGACAACAACCAACTCAAACAGGGTTCTCCAATGGCAGGCCCACTTTTTGGACCAAGTGTCCATACTGTACCGTTAGGTATCAATATTATACAGAAGTACTTCACAGATCTATTCGTTGTCAGACTTGCAACAAGACCTTCATTGCCTATGATTCAGGGGCAGTTCCACAGGCAACTAACATGAGTCAGCCAAACTTTCCCCAACAAAGAGTTGTGCAGAATCAGGCAAGTTACACAAGTCAACCAAAATTTCCCCAACAAAAAGTTGTGCAGAATCAGGGTTTTTGCAAAGTTGATGAAGGATCTCAAAGGAATTTCACTGCTGAGAATGTTTTTGAAGCCTTTTCTCCAAATGCAGCTCGCACTTCAGAGGTTGAAACAGGAAAGGTGAATGGTAAAAGAGTAAGGAAGCAAACGGTTGAATCCAGTGAGAGCTGTGACAGTGAAAGCAGCAGTGAGTCTGAAGAGAATATGGTGATTGATGACAATGGTGATGTTCTGGCTGGAAAGAAGTTTGATTCTCAAGTAGAGCAGAATGTGCGGAGATCTGGTAGGTGTAAGCAACATGTTTCATATAAGGAAAATTTAAGTGATGAGGAGGACATCGTTAGTCCTCCAAAAAAGGCTAAGGAAAGTGGATCAAACTGTGCAACTGAAGAGAGTGAAGAAATGCCGAAAGAGGACGAGTCTAAACAGAAAAATCAATCTGGTTTAGCTGGTGAAGTGAAAGAAGATAAGAAAGCGGTGGACCATAGTGAAGGTAAAAGTTTTGAAGTGAGCTTAGCCAATGGTAAGAAGAATATTGGGAAAGGATTTGAAAAGGAAACAGCCAAAGAGGATGATCTTAAGAAAACTAGCAAAGCTTATGCTGATGGTGTTAAGAGAAATCCAAACCCTATTTTTGATGACTCTCTATCTGATTCGAGCTTCAAAGAAACAAAAGAACCCCTGCTTTTTGAATTCCCTGATCCAGAGTTTAATGACTTTGACAAGGAGAATAAAGAAGGGTGTTTTTCAGTGGGGCAGATTTGGGCTTTGTACGATACACTGGATGCCATGCCTAGATTCTATGCTCGGATCAGAAAAGTCTTCTCTTCTGGGTTCAAGCTGAGGATAACCTGGCTAGAACCTGATCCAGATGATGAGAATGAAATAAAATGGGTCAGTGAAGGTTTGCCAGCTTCTTGTGGTAAGTTTAAACATGGGGCCGCTGAAAACGTTGAAGATCATCTTATGTTTTCCCATTTGATATATTGGGAAAAGGGAACCTGTAGAGATACCTACAAGATATTTCCAAGAAAAGGAGAAACGTGGGCACTTTTTAAGGACTGGAATATCAAATGGAGCGCGGATACTGGCACTGACCGGAAATACAAATATGAATTTGTTGAGATCTTATCAGAGGATGCTGAAGGTGTAGGTATACTTGTTGCATACTTGACTAAGGTTGAAGGCTTTGTGAGTGTCTTCTGTCAAATGAGTAAGGATGGAGTTGATACATTTGTAATTCCACCCAATGAACTATTCAGGTTTTCCCACAAGGTTCCGTCCTTTGTGCTGACTGGTGAAGAGAGAAAAGGAGTGCCAAAAGGTTCCTTTGAACTCGATCCAGCTTCATTGCCTGAAGAAATTTTTGTTCCCAAGGACTTGAAGGTGGATGGTGATGGCAAACATCTAAATAGCTTATGTTTGAGTGCTTCAGAAACAGTGAAGCCAATGATGGGATCTGATAAAACTGCTCCTTCAGCTTCGACCCTAGAAGCCCTTGAAATTCCAGAATCAGAATTCTACAATTTTGATGCTGACAAATCCCAGGAAAAGTTTCTCGTAGGTCAGATTTGGGCATTGTACAGTGATGAGGATGGCTTGCCAAAGTACTATGGTGAGATTAAGAAAATTGAGTCCAACCCAGTTTTCAAAATACATGTGAGATGGCTTCTTCCTTACCCATCAAAAAACACAATCGAGTGGTATGATACAGACATGCCCACTTGTTGCGGGAGATTTAGGATTAAAAAGGATTCCCAGGCCTACTCCTCCACTGATTCCTTTTCTCATAAGTTAAAAGCAGAGCCTACTGGTAGGAAGGATGAATACACCATCTTACCTAGAAAAGGAGAGATCTGGGCGTTGTATAGGAACTGGACTCCTGAAATTAAATGTGCTGACTTGGAGAACTGGGAATATGACATAGCACAGGTTATGGAGGAAACTGATTGGTGTATAAAGGTTTTAGTTTTAGAGCCTGTGGGTGGCTTCAATTCTGTTTTCAAGGCCCAAGTAAAAGGAAGATCTAATGTTACAATTGAAATCCCTCGGGTGGATCAGATTAGGTTCTCTCATCAGATTCCGTTTTTCCGGCTAACCAATGAGAGAAATGGCAGCCTAAGGGGCTTCTGGGAACTTGATCCTGCAGCATTGCCGGTACATTATTTTTCTTCATAGTTATGAGTAGCAAGATAACAAGTCTAGTGCGGTCTCTTTTCTTACACCTTTATGTGTACATTACATGCTCTTCTGGTCAGAGGGTACTTTTCCCACAGAGGCTGATGTCTAAAACAGAACAACTTTGGGCGAAAGTCTCATTTAGTGAGGTGTAACTGGATGCTTAAGTTCTTAATCCCATTCAATCATGTTTTGATGTGAAATGGAACCTTAAATATCTGTTGAGCAGTGAATGTAATTACTCTCTGGTTATAGTAGACCAGTTTGTTAGAAGTCCGGTTACAACTTCAACCAGCTTGACTCTTCTGAGGATGTGAATGTATCTTCAACCCATGTAGCAGCAGCCAGTCCATAATAAGAAAAGAAAAAAATGAAGATGAAAAAAGGGGCATTCAGTGACCATCATACCAAATGACCAGATGCCCTTTTTTGTTAAATTTTGAATCTTTTTCACTTTTTCTTATTACAATAAATAAATAAATAAGAAAACTCTACTATACAGCTGAGGAAGGGTAATAAATTCCTCCTTGTGATAAAGCAAATAGGAAATTCAAGACTGAACAAGAAAATAAATGATGGCAATGAAAACTACAAATGCTTGATCTTAAAAAAAAAAAAAAAAAAAGGAAAAAGAAAAGAAACTCTGATATTTGTGGCGCTAATTTTGCTTCAGTAAAATTATAATACAACGCTTCTTTCTTCCAAGGATTATCCAATAATATGCACCAGACTACCCCTTTCTTCCAAGGCATCATGCTATCAAAACAAATACAATTGATTTTTTTTACTTGAATTCAGTATACTTCAGCAACAAATGTATACACGCTAAGGCCTCAGTAAATAAGTAGCATAAAAATGCAGGGCCTTCTCATTCACTAGATCCGATCATACCGGGTTAGAATTTTGCATAACCTGAACTCGCCGACCAAAACAGTGGATATACAATGAATTGAGTGTCATAGTTATCACGAAACTTAACATTCCCGAAAGCATTATAGCAAAAACAGCATTCAGATGGAGCTGCAAAGACATTGATCAAAGGCCTCAATCACAATTAGTAGATAAAAAGCTATTTCATGCATGTAGTTTGAATTATCTCAAGACAACGCATTTAATTTCAGTTTCTGGATGCATTCATGTAAATCCTCCGGTACAAAGCATTCAAAACATTTTTATTGATACCATTAATGAGAATTGCTCGCAAAAAGAAGCTAGTTTTCGAGAGAGGGACATCACAGTCAAGAGTAAAGGATAGAACAAGCTATATTATCATGAAATTTAGTAGATTGAGCAGAATAGTATATAATGCTTTTAATTATTGCTCACCACGCTATAGAATATATGGACACTTAATGCGACAAGTGCGAATTCAAGAGCTGCATATGTCCATATATACTCCTTCATTGCTGCAAGCCAAACAAGCCAACATTAAGACAATCACAAATCATAAAGAAACATAAACTTTGAGGGTCAGCCATACCTAATATGACTGCAAAGATAGATGCTAAGAGGCCTAGGGTAAACGCAAATGGCGCTGCAATCACAATTGCTTGAGTCTTCATTTTCTTAATCTACAAAATGACAGCGCATAAAATCAACATTGTCAAGCCAGTGAGGATGATGATCTAAAATAGAAGGCCATTTGTCTATAACTTAACGAGGATAAAACAGTGACATTAATATAAGTTTGCAAGTATAAGTAGGAATGTTGGAGCAATTCAACATATGCATGTGTTGAAACTGGAAAGGCTAAGCTGAAGCCGGGTCTTTCCCTTTTCATATTGTGCTGAGTACTCCACAATTCTGATTGTGTCTCTTCATTTTATTTTCAGACAAGTCAAACTAATGTCGTATCCAGACTACCCAAATCAGTAATAAATATTGCTAACAACATGTTGGCCCATGACATTTTCGGCTCTTCCTGCTTATTAACTAGGTAGAACCATTGAGTGACTTCATAGGCTTGGATAACATTCAAAGTCCACAAAACAAAAAGATCAATTCCAGTTTAGTTTCTCGTAAGGCAAAACAGCATACCAGTAGCCGCTCAAGGAAGAAGAAATAGCATATTGTGCTAATTAACACGAGCACCACAAAATCCTGCCAGGCACTGCATATTTGAGGTAAGTATTTAAATTAGAAAAGAGAAAACGGCTAATTCTCAAGAAACTATTTTGCTGTAGAAGAGTTATTAATGTTATATTGTAGCCTTGCTCAGCAGTGAACTTGGTATTGTGCTACTAAGCACGGAATTCTAAAGGAAAGAGAACAATGCTTGAGAAATGAAACAAAGATCTAATTTAAGCAAGCATTTGAAGAGAATGCCATTAGATTCATCAATGCGTCATAGTTAAAGATCAACCATAATTAGATGCAAGATAACTAGATTAATAGCTGATACTACCTCAAGGTTTCTGATGGTAAGCTTTGAGAATTAACGTTCTGTCTATTACCCCTCCGAGTAGTAGTAGGCACACGCAGCAAAGTTACAGGTAAGTTCCGCACTTCTTGCCCACATACATCACAGTTTTTGTTTCCTTTTGCACTAAACCATTTAACAGCGCATGCCTTGTGCACAAGTTGGAGGGCACCTTTGCAGCTGCATTCCATTTTGAGTGTATTTTCCTCTTCACATTCATCAAAACAGATTCTGCACACAGCTTCCTCTTCAGGAATCTCCTCATCACTGCTTTCCACAGGAACAGGATTAATTTGATCTGCAACCCCATAGGAACATGAAATCGACCTCAAAAATCAAGACCAATAAACCAAAAATAATTGAAGTCAAATGTTGAAAATACTGAGTTGCAAGTTCAGACAAATTTGCATGGTAAAATGTGCTAGAATAAGCAGCTCAAAATTTAGTATAGTTTAATTACTTTGTGTAAACCAAGCCTAATACTGCAGTTAATCATGTAGAAGTACTTTTTGTTGCTTTTGAAAAAAGAAACAACTCATTCGATTTATTCAACTTAAATTGGGGGAAGAAAAAATTGAACTTTGATATTAAACTACCAAACTACTTGACTCCATTTGCTAAAAGATGTCTCATGTCAGACAGGTGTGTTGACCTATGAGTTGAAGCAATGACACTAAAAGGGAACTCGAATAAGAGGAATGCTTGCACCACTACATACCATCATGGTTATCTGCTGGGACATGCTCTTTATGGGAATCAAACGATGCAGATCTTACTATAACAATATTTCGTCCGGGCATTGAAAGGGACCTTGAAACCGCAGCACGCGTTGCTCCTTTCTGCATAAAATTTACTGTAACCATCTCACAATGCATTTAAATTATTTTTACACAACTAACTTGGAGCTTTTTCCCATATAAATATGGGGTAGGTAGTTAGCCTCTAAAGAAAGCCTTAGAAACTGAAAATTCATGGTCATTGTTAAAAGGAAATTTTTTTACTTTTTCCATTATTACAACCACATTTTCAGTTTTCACCATGCTGGTCTAATAGAGGGCTTAAATAAGGTGAAGGATCAGCGAAAGGCAGTTGATTTCCTAGGAAACAACAAAAGTTGGTCTTGACATATTGGAAGATGTAATCTTTTGGCATAATATATATGCCAATACCCAAATGTTGCTCCAGACAGTTAATTGAATAAAAATTTCAATAGCTACAGTGAGCAAAACTATAATACAAAGTTCATAAAATAATCAGAACCATATGATACATACATTTGATTTATTCTGTTCACGAGCCATTCTTTCTGTAGCAGGCATGGTAACTGATGGGGATAAGTTTGATGCAGGTGTAACAGGAAGAGATGTACATTTTTTCCAATAAAATGGGGATGGAAGACCAGCCATACTAGAATTTTCAGCACCTGTCTTGCTGTCAGGAGTGAGGAGGGAGCTGCTTTCACCATCAGCTACAATACCTTTTTTCTTGAAGCTTAAGCCACGCAAGAAGCCTCCTGATGATGAACTACTTTTACCGGAACCCTGGGACTGAAGTAAACCCTTTCCACTACGGCTACCAAATCCTAGTGGTCTAGGGGGTATTTGAAGTGAAAGATCCAAGCGTCTACCACTTGTTCCAGGCTTTGAAAGTTCGTTATCTGAGGGTTCCAGAATTGGAAAATTTGCCTGCATGTTATGAAGGTTTAATTCAACTTCAAGTAATTTCATTAATAAATCTACGCAGAACATTCACCACTATAAGAAATCATATGAAACCTCTGATCAAAGAGGATGCCAATTACAAAGCCAGAACCTTTTTCCTAGATAAATGATAAAATCGAAAATCGGATGCCATAGATGCCAAACATCTAGAGGCTAGATCCAAACCCGTATTTCATATAAATGTTTTTGTAGATGGTCATTAGTCATGCTTAATTAATTAACAGCTCCTAAATTTCAGGACTTAGCTTGAAGAAGCCTCAGTTTGGATCTATAAAAGGACAAGGTAAACACAAGGGAGACGGTTATTGCCTTATGACACAAAACATAAGGGTTGTCCATGCTTAAGCATTTACACACATTTCGTGTCCCTGCTCCCATTCTTTCCAATGCTCAGAAGCAACAATGCTTTATTGCTCTGATTATTTTTAGGAAGAGCTATAACAAAGAGAAAAGAAAAAGCAAAAGCAATGATTCTAACAATATGCATACATATCAGAATGTTGCCTTTTAAGAAATTGGATCGCCCTCCCAATTCTAATGCTAATATGCTGTGTTCAACAACTCAAAAAGAAGTAACCAAAAGGAAAAATAATGCTGCTAGTCATTGGCAATGTACTTAATAATTAGGATATAAAACCACTAACTTGGATTAACAAAAAATAATATAAAACCATTAAGGAAACTAACAATTAAATGGTCCCAAAGTACTCAAGAATATGATAAGAAGATACGCTTAGTTATATGGCAGAAGCAATAGGTTGACAATAACCAATAAGAATTCCAAATAAGGGAGCAAACCCAAACTTAACTATCAAAACCTTTTCCTTTTAAGGGAAAAAAAAACTATAACTAGTTATTTGCTTTAGACCTCTAATACTAACAGATCAAACAGATATCCAAGCATAGAATTATCTTCAAAAAGGCTTTATAGAATCCGAGACTTAACTCAATTGGTTCAAGCAGCCACTAGGAGCCATCTCGGCTACGGCCTCCTTTGTAAAAGGAAGCTTTATGCACCATAAAAAAAGGCTAGTAAAAGACACCCTAAAACATTGAAACTATCAGCAATCTCAGATCATAAGACAACAACACTGAATTAACCAAATTTTAAATATCAAAGAGCACAAGCAATCTAGTTTCAATCCAATAGAAAGTATCACTTAATGAAATTAATATTATAAATTCACATCTTAAAATATATCGAACCAAAAACTGAAAACCCTTCAACAAGTTTCTAAGTACTAATTGATGAACATTTAGAAGCCCATCTCTGGAAAATAAAGCAAAATTTTATTTTGTTCACATATCTATATATAGAAAGGAAAAAAAAAAGAAAGAAAAGAGTGATCAAGAAGAACCTGAGAAGAACCCTCAGCAACTCCATTGCTGACAGCTTCAGCTTCAGTTGCTTGCATTGTTAATTCTTGGATAAGTCCCCAAGAAACCCAACAAATGAAATGTAAACAAAAAAAAAAAATTAAATAAATAAATCACTACTACAAAATTAAATAAAAAAGGAAAATAATTGATGCAACCCAACAAAGATTGGGAAATGAAGAATCCAAAGACGGTGCAAAGATAGTAATAGAGGAAAGAACAAATCTAAAAAAAATCTTTCCCTTTGTTGTAGGATATAATAATTATTATTTATATAAGATAAATAAGAAAATATTATGTTATTTTGACTAAGGAATGGGATTGTGTGGTTTGGTCGGGGTCAATTCGGATGATGGCGAGGAACCTCCTTTGTCATTTCTTTTTGTTTGCTTTTCCCCACTCACTTGCCATTATATTTTGCTACTCGCTTTGGGTGGCGGCCACGTAGTCAATGGTGTCAATTTTCTTTTTACTTCTTATATTGCACTTGATTTTTATAAAAAATTCCTTTTTAATTCCTTAAATTATTAAAATTTAAATGTAATTATATTTTAATTTTTTTATATAAAATTAGTGATACAATATTTGAAAAAAATAAATTATGAAAAAAATTGTAAAATATTTTTAGTTGTAACACCACAATATTTCCACGTGAGAGTGGGCTTTGGTGTTTGTAAATAAAGCAAGTGGGAGGTTGGAATTAAATGGGGGAGTTGTGGTATAGGTCCATGGTTACTATCATACATTCATTACTCCAAAATAGATAGGAAATTTCCCAATTACAAACAAACCTCTATTTAATTGGTTACCCTAGATTAATTTTTTTTAATACAATAAAAATAATTCGTATCAAATGAATTTTGATTCATTTTAATTTAATAACGTTAAATTTATTTATGAAAATCAAAGGTTGAATTAAAGGTAAGTAAATTTTTTTTAAAAATTAGAGTTAAATAGAATCAAATTTTGAATAACGCCATCTCAATTTTGACTTAAATATATATATAATTTTTATTATTTATTTAATTTTAAATATATATTATATTAATAAAATTATTATTTAATATTTTAATTGAAAATATTAACTTAATATATATAATTAAAATGTAATTTACATTAAAAATAATATTTTATAAATATTATACTAAATTAAAATTATTAAATTAATTTTGAATTGAATCTATTGTAGTTTGTAATTAAATATACATGTCAAGTATAAAAAAGTAATATTTTGATGTCAAATTAGATCGAAATCGAGTATGAATATTAAGAGATCAGGTCAAGCAAAAGCATGCCCTAATCCGTTACCATTTCTATTTTTTTCACATTTTTTTTAAAAATTTTTGGGGAAAAAAATATAGAAAAAGGAGCAAACGACGGAAGAATAAATAATTTGTTTTCCTCTCTTTAGATAGTTGTAAGTAGATTTTTAATTTTTGTATTTATGTTTATTTATTTTGTATTAAATACATATACAAATTAAAATTATCGTATTAGTATTCATGTTCACATACTAAATATAATTTTTTTTTACTAAAATTTTAAACTAGATTATTTTTGTATCTTTTTTTTTTTTTGTATTGTGTAACTATATCATATTTAAAATTATCAAATTTAATTATAAATTAAATTGATAAAAAATAAAAAATTAATTCAAATTAATCATAATATTTTATTCTATTCAAATCTATTTTGATTATCAAACTTATTTATTCCATTTATAAGTTTAAATGCTAGTACAGTTTAGCTGGATCAAAATTTATTGCTTTTTTTTTTTTTTAAAGTTCCAAATAAGTGTTATTTGTGTGCAGCAAAAGGAAAAATGAGTATAAAGTTTATTGATTCCTTCCATTTTCAGCATGCCATAATTAATACTTCATATGAAATAAAGGGTAGTTATTGTTTTTTCTTTTCTCTTGTTGTTTTAGTTTGATGTCTATAAGATTCATTATTGTTGGGGGTTGAAATGTGTTATAATTACCATGTTATTATTGTTAATTTTTGTTTATGTTAAGCTTCGAGCTGAGAGTAAAAGTCTTGAAATCATACAAGAGAATGAGAGTAGTTAAGAGTAAAGGTATGAAGTATTTTGTGCACTGACACTCTAATATTCAAATCAGATATCAGAATGATGGAAGTTGGAAGAAGGGTAGAAAATAAGGAAATAAGAGAAAAATCAGATGGATGGATAGTACTTGTGTCATGGGTCGAGACTTAAGCTCCGAACCCGCGCGGTTTCGAGACTTGGACATCCACTTTTTCGACGTCTCGGATCAACCTATCTGTCACAATTCATACCTTTGTGAGATATTATCCGCTCTGACCCTCTAGACTTACGGTTTTATCCTACAAAAGGCGTCTCACAAGACAGAGGTGGTGTGAACCCTTTTATACCCCAATGACCCTCTTATTATGTTTGATGTGGGATTCAAGACTCTTCCTTAGGTCCGTGACACTTGAATGATTTATTTAAAGGCAAAAGGTGAGGGGTTCGTGACGTATAATAGTGACATAATCAAGTTGACGTAGTACTCTACATGTTAGATATATTTGACATGTTAAATCGGTTTAAAAATTTAAAATATTCTTAATTATTTACTGTCAGTCTCTAATTATAAAAAAAGATCAATTTATCCTTTGAATCAAAAGATAATCTTAACAAGATCTATTTCTGAATTTTTCTTGGAGTTATTTTGATTATGCCAATTTTTAATTCTAATAAACAATTTTTTTTTGTCAACCAAAGAATATTGAATTCGTAATTTTAGTAATTACAGCAGACTTGAAACATTCAACAACAAATGGACCATAGTCTTTGCAAGATCAGAAATTAAAAAAAGAAAAAGAAAAGAAAAAAAAAGTGGGAAGTATCCGATTCTAAGTTTAGTGCTCATAGCACTGAAAAAAACAAAACATCATTTAATCCAACCATTGAGAAGTAGTAAACAAAACTATTTTACTAATGAGCTTATAATTAGTCAATTCCATTTTGCCCTCTGCAAAAGCAAAGGAATCAAAACATTGATGGAGTTCCTAATTGCGAAGGGTCTTCAAAGAAATGATTCCCTAAATTCCAAGAGACATGGTGGTCAAGTGGTCAGAACTTTCTGTCTGTTTCTTGATGAGAAGTTAAAATATCATTGTAACCCTAATGCTAGATCTATATTTATATAATATAAAATATTAAGATTTATATATTTGTATAATATTTTATATAAAAATTATATATTATGATTTATATTAATATAAAAATATAAAATATTTTTTTTATTAAATTTAAAATAAAATATTATCTGAAATTATTTTAACATCGTGAAGATCAATCCAACCAAATCTTGGCTTTAATAATTGCGTTCTGGAATCAAATTCTATAATAAATAAATAAAAAAAAAAAGGTCTGTCGTGTCACATGTTGTTCTCTTCCAAGGACCAATAAGGACTTGAGCAGTCAACAGGCTGCTTTTCTTTTCTCTTTCATTGTGTCAAAAGGAGCAAGACCATTAACTTGAAAAAGTGCTAGCAATGGATGGATGACATGAAACCCACCAATAAAAATGGATTTTGAACCCAGAACCTAACATTAACTGGAAAGGTGAAATGAATGGTTGTAATCAATGCTCAACAACAATAGATCTGTTGGATGGTTTGAAGCAACTTAATTAAATTTTAGATTCGACAAGAATATGTTTAAAAAAGATATAAATATGAATAAACACTAGATAGAAACAGCAAAACTTACCTAACGAAAAAAAAATTGAAAGTCTTAATAGAACAGTGACCAAATTTATATTCATGGACAACAAGAATGGAATGGTGGATGTTTCACGCTTCCTCCTTGTTGAAGATAGCGGGGACTCTGAGCTCGATTACGGACCAATCAAGCAGTGTCAAAGCATGGAAATAGCTGCTGCTGATCATGAAGATGATGCAGAGTCATGTAGCTGTGACACAATTAGTACAGAGAAACTTGATGATTTTTATGAAGCAATTCTTCAACTTGATGAAGACCAAGCAGATTTCATTGATTGTAAAGAGACTGCACCAGGCAGGAGCAATTGCAACGTGTGGTCTATAGATAAAGCTTTGGGATGTGTATCAGCTGATCAGGAGGCAGAAGATGAGGACCTAAGGTCTGGTAGCAATTTCAGCAGAGAGGCAATGGATGCTATGGAAGATAGGTTGTTTTGGGAGACTTGCATGGCAGTTGGATACCCTTAAATTGAATGTTAGTTCTTCTCATCCTTATTTTTTCTTCAATTTTTTTAATTTCACAAATAAAATTAAAATATTTAAAATTAAAATTCATTGACAATAGATGAAATAATTTTTCTTTAAATTATTAATAATTATTGGCTTGTGATATCTAAATAAAATATATTCCTCATTTGACTATTCATTCTGCCATTAATATCCAAAAAGATTTAGGGTATGGGTTTAGCTTTGGGTTGAGAATTAAGGCAAGATGAAAACAAGCTTTTTTTTTTTTTGGTTTCGTTTCTCTCTTTTGATCTACTGCTGACACTTCTTAAGGTAGATGAAGATTTGGAACAAGAGTTGTTGTCGCCCCCAAGCAGAAAAGATAAGAGTCAAAGCTGAAATTGAAATAAAATGTGATATTTCTTCGGTACATATCTGAAGAAGATGATCCCACGAGCAATACTCAATTGAAGAAATGCCAAAATCAAGGAATATAATTGCTTAATTTATAATGTTTTAGAGGGGTATACCTGTTCTTGGGCCGGCGGTTCATTTGAATTCGAAAACCTATCTTAAATTTTGAAAGGTTTAGATATAAATATTAAATTTATTAAATGAATTTGAACAAATAAATAAAATTTGATCAAATAAAAAGGTCAAGCTTAGATTTTACTATTTAAAGTTTGAGTCTGACTCAATCCGACTTAAAAGTTAAAAAATATATTGTTATTATAATGGATCAAGACTTATTTGTTTTATTATTTATATTAAGATAAAATTCATTTCTTTTTTTTATAGAATAATGATCTAATTTTAAATTATATTCAATAAAATTAAATTGAACTTAAACCCAAATGACTTATAAATTCAATTAAAATTAATCAAATTAGTTAAATTAATAATTAAAAAAAAATTTTTTTCTAATTTTAAATACCAATACTTTGAACGAATTTCGATTTTATTATTACATACAAAAATAGATTTGGACAAAAAATAAAAACCAAAAAATCAAGTTGAATCGAACCTAAACTTACTTAAAATGCTAAGATATCATGCTAGGTCCAGCTCATAAGCAGTTTTAATCCTACCCCATACAGCACATATCAAGTTTCTTTTTTTTTTTTTGGTTGAAAATATCAAAGTTTCCATTAAAAAAA